TCTGTACTTTATACCTTGTAGTATTGGGGAACTGCCCCATGGCCTATTGTGTCTGTAGCCACGAACACCTCTATCTTAGGTACCTATAGAGCATCTTTCTCTCCTCAGTCTCCATGGGAATGAAGACATTTTAATACATTAGAATTTCAAGAAGTCGTTAGATAGTGGCTCAGACTTGTAACTGTCAACTTAAATACCTCCTTACCACGTGACTCTCAATTGTCTGCATATGGAACAGATGCAGTTCAAATTAGCGTTTGGAGACTTAATTGACATGGAAGGAAGACACATGCATAAGAGTCTAAAACTTAACTAAAGCCTGAAGACCTCATTCAGAACCACTGATGAATTTTTCAAGCGCCCATGTATGTAAGACGGTCACTGCTCTATAAACCTTCCGACCCAAATAGTTGACACAGAAAGAGATTCTTTTGTAAAAGAGAAGAGACCATCCTAAGCTAGTTGTCCACAATTATACAAGTCTCCTGTAAGCAGCCATCTTTGTAGTTTCCAATGACCATGCTTTGGCTAAATTTTAGCGTCTGTACCCTATCTTCAAGACAACCATTTACCCATACGCAGACTTAATACTGACCTCGTTGCACTACTCAGAGGAAAATTGTCGTGTTACTTTTAACAGTCTGATTAAACCAGTAAGCAAAATGTTTAAAATATGGAGTAAAAGTTTTTGTCTGTGATAAGCACAGGCCATCTCTCATTGGTCTGTAGAAATCTACACCTGAAAGCTTTTTTATTTCTCTAAGAACAAACAGGGCTTAAAGCATCTTTGATAAATATTTTTAAAATCAAATTTGAAAAGTCAAAATTACTTTAAAAAAAATAGATCAAACACAAATATGTCAGAGCTTGAATTCACTAACAGGTTATCTTGATTCCTAGGTCAAGATACTTGTTTTACAAATTAGAGAAGAAAGCGGGAGAAATTGCAAAGTGCGTGGACTTTAGTAATAATATAACTTGTGAACTACTATCAAAGCTGACTGTAGAATGCCTGCAAGCAGCACTCAATGCAAAGTTCCTTCTTCAGGAATTTTGAAGACATTTGTCTTCATTATTGAACCAGCTCTAGGAAGACTGACTTTCTGAACACATACAAGAGGAGCAGCCTGCATATACTGAGTCACTAACTAGCGTGGGGGAGTAAGATATCAACTGTCACAGTAAAAAGGTTTTCCCCTCCGTTGGTACTGAAGGAACAGAAGAAGTGTTTCACAGGCTGTCACAAAAAACAGACTCGTTTACAAGATATATCACACTGAATCTAGTCCCCCATAGTTGTGGGGAACCCTCATAGCATTTTACTCATGCAGAATATCAATGATCTTATATATTTAAAAAAAAAAAATTCACTCTCCCTTTCGATGCCTTGAAGCTTGCATAAAATCAGACACAAATGGTACTTTCTTCAAAAGGACTGGAATCAGATACTGTAGTGCAATTAAGTTGTACTATCTCCACTAAGAAAAGTTCTGCATCTTAAACTGATGTAAGAGAAATCCAACCGTCAATGAACCTCCTTGGCATCCACTAGGTCTGACAGTTTGTAACAAACACTAAACTCTTAAAAAGCAGCAAGAGAAGACAGAATGGTACCAACTGCTATGTGACACATGAAAACATCTCTCTGAGGGTTCATCACAATATTACATTTGCACAATTCATCTTTCAATGCACTTGTAATTCAAAAGCATATTAAGGCTTCTAAAGCAAAAGTGTGTCACCTTAAAAACACAATAGCGAAGATCACTGGATTCCAAATGTTTTTATTTTGTGTTCACTGCCATAGAAAGTAATCTAACAGCATGGTCATCACTGTTAATGAGGAGGGGCAGGTGAGGGGGAAGAGTGGAAAAATGTGGTTTTTCTTTTCCTGAACAAAAGATGTTATGTACATAAGTCCAGACCAAAATTCTGATGTTAAGTACAAAAAGCAGCTATCTGAATTATAAAATACTGTATGTAGAAGTAGAAAAATGTTCCAGGTGTTCAACAGATTTTCTAAACTTTCAAAGGCAAATCCCAGCCAGGCAGGGTAAATAGCTCTTGTCTTCAAAGATGAGCACCAGGTCACTGAGCAGAATGCCTGAACCTTTATCTTCCTATGTTACAGCTGAAGCAGACTTTGCTTTTCATCCCAGTCAGGGTAACATGATGGTCCTAGTGATAAAGGTGTTTTTCACGGACTTATTAATTTAATAAGCACTCTGTATATATAAAAATGGAATTTCAAAAATGTATACAACAACTAGACTTTATAAAAATATAAATCTATAACTTTACACCAGGAATTATCCAAGTTAAGTTTCCATTTTCTTAAGTCTTAACCATTAGGAATTAATTTTTGTCTTTTGGAATCTTATCTATGGCTAGAATGTAAATTTAAATAATGTGAAGTTATTAGCTAGTGAAAAGAATTTTAGGAACATTTTGTGTTTATTTTCGCCTAAAGCGATCCGATTTCTGCATTCTGCAGTACTTCTTTTATGGCATTTGTACATATTATTTTCAAATACGTTACCAACAGAGTCCACATCTACTTTTTCCAGAATTTTGACCACCTTCAGCGTTAAAACCCAAGTAAAAACCATCCCATCATCCTCACTGTGGAAAAAACCCAAATAAATAAAATTAGACAGTACTTTTATTTTTCTGTACTGCATTAACTCTTTACTGTGTAGTGGAGGCAATAATGAATAATACAGCCATTAGATGGAGGAATGTAAAACAGAATACATATTGGAAAACACAGACTTCTGCTGTGTATATATATGCGTATATACACACACACACACACATATATGTATGTCTACATTGCAGTTACCATTGTCACTCCACAAAAGATTCACTTTACGGACTGAACAATTGTTTATAACTTCATCAGCTGGAGTTCTTCAGGAAGAACTAGCTTTC